GAGGGCTGCGAGAAAGTTTGCACACCTCTGAATCTTGTGCCCCGCCATAAAAACATTTCGGTACAAGACCGAATCAAAGAACGATAGGCTGTCGGGCAGGTAGGTCCTGGTGGCAAATGTGTCACCGGCACTAGCAAGGCCATTAAGAGCTGTGGCCATGGCTATATAGGGTGGCCTCCGGAGAACTGGATAATCAAAGCCAAGAGGGCAGACGTGTGGGCATTGAGAGACTGTAGCAAGAGTCTCAAGTGTAATGCGGATGGGATGGCCATCTATAGTGGTCCGCAACTCCGCCAGGTTACTTGGGGCCAGCTAGAGGTTCTGGTAAAACAACCGGACGAGCCTCGGATAAACCGGATTAGCCACTGGGGCCGGAATAGGAGAGATGTTACGTCGGTAGATCTCATCATAAACCCACTTGGTTGTGCACGACTGGGCAAAGAAAGTCTCATCAAATACTGACTCATGCGCTACTGAAAGGGGCAAAAATCTGGGCTCATAACCGGGCTGTACCAGTGGTGGTGCTGGAATAGGTGCAGGAGGTGGCGTGTGCTCGGCCTCCTGAGTTGATGAAGATAAAGAGGCAGCTGCAGAAGAGGAGGAGTGCTTGGACTGAGTGGGAGCTAGCTCCTCAGGCTACTCTACCCACTGCCACACCCTGAGCTCATATGTCTGGCGGACAGTGGTCTTGACTCGAGCTATGGTCTACAAAAACAAAGAAACACTTGCAAATAAAGTCAATAACAGGAAATAATATTTGAAAGATAGAATTGAAAGCACAATAGATAGAAACATACTTGTCAGATAAAGATAGACAACTCAGAAGGTATGGACATGAACCTATCTGTGCAAGTGATAATGCAGCCAAGGATAAGCATTAAATGTTCAAATAGGTGAAACATATTAGACATGATAAGTATAGAATGCAACCAATGTGGAAAACATAGGCATTGGGCATAATTATAATAGCATGAACACAAATGAGGGTGCAGGGGCATCAATATGCAAAACAATGAAGTTAGATCAATCATAAAAAAATGGGATCGATCCAAGTTGGATCGATCATAAGATGGGTTGGATCGATCGAACTATGATGGATCAGAGCTCAGGTTCGATTGATCGAACCTGTGGAAAAATATGAACTGTCACAGATTCGTGACGTGGACAACACAAGGGCATCCAAACGGTCCCGTAACCCCCTCTACACCTCAACAATTCATAAATGGCCACTTAAATCGGCACGTGACCCCCAGAATCAAATTTAGAAACAAAATAAATATATATATACCTATATACATATATATATACATGCTTGAAGTTCGACTATGGAAGTGAAATCAAATGTGGAAGCTCAAAATTGAAGCATGGCAACATGTAACACTAGATTGAACTTCGAAAATGGAAGATAAACTAAGAACTTACCAAAGAAAATGGGAGAGGAGTGGATTGAGAGAGAGAAGATGAGATCGAGTGCAAAGATGGAAGTTTTGAAGCTTTAAAACTCGCCGGAGGTTCGTCAGAGATGGGAAAGATGAAAGAAGCTCGCCGGGAGAGAGAGGAAGTTTTAGATCGATGTAGGAATTGATCTAAATGAACCTTGGGTCATTTTAAAAAAACTGATCCCGGTATGCTCGATCAATCACTTGAGTGATTCGATCGATCAAAAATGGATCGATCATGAAGATGAATGGATCGATCGAGACGGCAAAATATTTTTGAATTTTTCGAAAATTTAAAATATTTTTTATTTTATTTTATTTTTATTATTTTTTTTAATGAAAAATATTTTTGAATTTTTGAAATTTGGAATTGAAAAAGTCAAAGTCAAAAGGGAGAACACAAGTCGTTCATATATTGATCGATCGAACCTCGATCGATTCAACAGGTAAAAACCTGCAGGGATCTTTGAACGATACACAGAGAGGTATTTTTCAAAGTTTCAAAAAAATTTCTAAGTATATAACTGAGATCGATCCAAGGGAAAGTTGGATCGATCAAATAATGCTTTAATCGATCTGAGAAAAAAATTTGCACGATACATAGAGAAATGAAATATGCAGAAAATTGTTGCGATATGGAACAGAAAGATGGGAATATGCAGAGATGATGTTCGATCGATTAAACTTCCTTTTGTGATCGATCGAATAGGCACTAAATGCCTAATTTGAAAATGAAAGTGCAAGCATTCTCTATCAAAGTCTCAAGCAATATGTATGATCCCAGAATATATCTAGATAATGCAAGAAAACAAAGGTAAAAGATAAATGAGGGAGGAATATGATTGTAAACTCTACGAATCATTAGTGTTTAACGTCTCTAACAAGACATTGGGCTCTTTTAGCTCAGATTAAAAATCTTGTTATACACCCCCTCCTTGATGGGGTGAAATGACTTTTGAACCCCACCCAACAAACTATTCCCTAGGGAACTTGTTAGATTTGATTCAAATGGAGTTGGCAATCCTTTGTCAAACATATCTTTGGGCTTCCATGCCCTTACAACACTTGGTTTTGAAATATTTTTCTTTAAACTCTCTTTTGAAAACAAGTCATTTGAAATTCCATTGTCAAGCAAAGCCTCATGTTTTTCAAGTTCATTTTCAAGGCATTTTTTAACAACACAAACTTCTTCATGCTTGTCCAAAGAATTGGGGATGGGATTGAAAATGTTTAACTTTACCTTTATATGCCCAAATGAAATTTTCATTATCCCCGCCTACAATTTATGTTGGCATTAGCAGTTGCCAAGAAAGGATGGCCAAGGATAATAGGAATTTGGCTTTTAGGGTTTGCGACCAGTTCCCTGCCAATGACTACGAAATCAACCGGGAAGAAGAACTTATCAATTTTAATGAACACATCCTCAATAATACCCCGGGGCTTTTTAATGGATCAGTCAGCTAGTTGCAACACTACCGACATCGGTTTTAAATCTCCTAAGCCCAATTAAACATACACCGAATATGGAAGAAGATTCACACTTGCTCCTAAATCAAGAAGAGCTCAGTTAATGGCATGGTCGCCAATGATGCAAGAAGTGGTAGGTGAACCGGGTCTTTAAATTTTGAAAGTATGTTATATTGTAAAATGGAGCTTACTTGCTCAGTCAATGCAACATTTTTTGGTGCTTGGCTCTTGTTCTTCCTCTTAAGGGTGCAAAGATCTTTTAAAAACTTGGCGTAAGCTGGAATTTGTTTAATTGCATCTAAGAAAGGAAGATTGATCTTCACTTGCCTAAACACATTAATTATTTCAATGGCTTTAGTCTTTTTCTTTTCAAGAGAAATGGATCCTTTTAAGGCATCCGGAAATAGAGCCTTTGGCTCAAAAGCTTTTGCACAATCCTTTTTTGAAACTTTCTCAACACAAGGATTTTTTAAATCATTTTTCAAAAGTTTCTCAACAAAAGGTTCATGCACATGCAACGAAGGAGGAATAGGATTTAAGACGGGATGGGTGTCAACTTTTGTTGCACCTATTCGCTATCTTCATTTTGAATACCAACTTGATTATCCACAATCCTTCCACTTCTTAAAGTTGTGACCGCATTGACATGTTCAATTGTGTGACCATCAGAGGAAGAATTGGTCTCCACAACAAATTATTGCTTTGGTGGTGGATTCAAAGGCATCTTCCCCTTTTCCCTAGCATTCAATGTACTAGTTATTTGCCCTACTTGGGTTTCTAGCTTTGCAATGGATTAGGAATGAGAATGAAGTAATTGGGTGTTTGCCTCTAAAATACCCAAAACGGTCAACACTTTTTCTTCAAATGTGGAACTCCTTGAGTTCCTTTGAGAATATGAAGATTAGTTTGGAAAATAAGTGTTTGAAAATTGGTTTCCATGCGGTGCTTGGTATAATAATCTATACCCTTGGGAACCTTGACTTTGCATTTAGGGTGGAATATACTTTCCTTGAAAACCACTTTGGGGAGGGTTTGAGCCTTCCCCTTGGCTTTTCTAAGAGAAGTTTGGATGGTTCCTCCACCCGGGATTGTAATGGGTACCATAGGGATTATTTCCTCGGTTGATAAATGTGGCATTCACTTGCTAATGGTGCTTCCCCTCCCCTAATTGATTCACAAAGCGAGTTAGAGCTATCGGCCAGTGCCTCGATGTATCACCAAAGCATACACCAAGAAGGTCCTTCCCTTCATCAAAAGGGTAAAAGTTGTAGTCACATCACGGCATCTGAAGACGAATCTCCCACTCTCAGGGAATGGTACGTACGGGCAAGCATCAAGGAAAAATAATAAATCAAATCACTTTACATCTATCTACCTATAGACCTAGCATTCCTCTCGTCACTGGTAATAAGATGGCCAAACCACTCCAAGACCTCTTATCCCTTTCGCTCTTGACCACCCATCCGATAAGTAAGAGAGCTTTTTGCGGAGGTACGCTCTCCAACTGCAAATGCTATTCTCCTTAAGAAATGACACCTCTGCCGCCAGACGGTGTGGCCTGGAGCACCCAAGAAGTCAATAAATTTGGGAATATAGAAGGTATAAGGCATCGTGTCAAAAAAGAACTTGTCAGTGTCAAATGCTTGAACTTGGTATTATTTATAGGAAGAAGATGGCCGCTCACTTTGCAAATGTCCATGGGGACAATTGGAAGTAGAATGTAAAACACTAGAATAAGTCATGCAAGTTTTATTGGAATTGTGATGAGAATGGTTAGGGGAGGAAGAAACTTGATTCACCGAATTGTGGTTGATAAAAAATTGATCAAACCTTTGCGATAAAGACTTGACTTCAGCAGCTATGTTATTGGAATTGTCAACTTGATATAAGCCGACAAGCTTCCTTCCACCCAGATTTCTACCATTTTTAGATAACAAAGATTGATGCATTGAATTTTCACTCATGCTCTCATATAATCGCCAAACATCATCCTCATGCCTATCAAGATATGAACCACCTATGGAAGCATCTACCATTCCTTTAAAATTATCAGACAAACTTTCAAAGAAAAATTGCACCAATTGCCATTTAGGAATGTCGTGATGTGGACATTTCCTAAGCAAATCATTAAGGCGCTCCCATGCCTCATGAAACAATTCCCCATCCCCTTATGAGAATTCATGAATTGAGGTTCTCATTGTATTGGTCTTTGAAACTGGATAGTACTCTTTCAAGAACTCTTGTTGCATTTCAGCCCAAGAAGTTATCGAAAAAGGCCTAAGATTGTTGAACCAATATTTTGCCTTATCTTTAAGGGTGAAAGGAAAAAGTTTAAGTCTTAAAACTTCTTCTGGCATGTCAGTGTACTTTACAGTGGAACACACTTCAAGAAACTCATCCAAATGCTTGTAAGGTTCTTCACTTGGAAGTCCATGATAATTGGGAAGCATTTGAATGGTTTGTGGTTTAATTTCATAGTGATGTGCTATAAATGGGGGCAATTGAATGCATGTAGGTGCATTATATTCATTTGGCACATATCGATCTCTTAAAGCAAGAAGAGGATTCATAATTGGTGGTGCTACATGAGCACCATGATTCACTTGAGCAACGGGAGGTGGAGGTGGAACGAAAATTGGCTGAGGCATTCCCAATGGAACTTGGCCTTATTGTTGTGGAACAAATGGTCTTGGCATGCCTAATGGTACTTGAATGTTGTCATGATGCACATGTGGGTGAAGGATACCTTGTTGGTCGATGTGACCAAGGTCCTCCACATGGTCCTCACTAATATCCTCCATTGATAAAATGGAGTGATGAGAGCTACCCCTTCCCCAAGGATTATGAACAACCGATTCAAGATGAAAATCAAGTGCGATAAGAGTAGGATTTAATGACCTATGACCATGCATGCACAAACGAATCAACAATTAGCAACAAGCATGTAGCAAATAACAATCACTTTACCTCCGCAATAAATCAATCAACAAACTTCCACATATATTTATCCCATACTCCCATGCTTTCAACAATATGCAAAGAAAGTAAATTGCCTCCATGTGGGCTCACGTTTTATCTAACAATTTAAAGAAATGCCACCACGCGGGTCGATAATTTAACTAAAGATAAAGTTAGAAAAGCTCACAAAGGGTCCTTAAGTAACTTCAAATTAATTTCAATTTTTGCTTTGCTTTGCTTTGCAAATTTTTAGATTTTTGAGCTTTTTATGCTTTTGCTTAGCTTAGCTTGCTCGTTGCTTTAGAATTTTCCTTTGTTTCACTTCCCTTACCCAATACACCTAGCCAATCAAGAACAAACACAATAAGTAACCAAAATAAAGTAAAATAAAGACACGATCAAAAGAATACTAATTCCTAATTGTTTCCAAAATACGGCGTTGCCCATTCCCCGGCAACGGCGCCAAAACTTGGTGGGTGTCGCCTTGCAAAAAGCTAAAAGTGCATAGTGTGGCCAAGTTTGAATTTATAGAATGCCACTACTACCTCTAACTAGTAATATAGCTAGGGTGAGTAGGGATCATCCAAAGGGAAAAGGACAGTATTTGTATAGAAACAATGTTGGATTAATAGGTCGAGTGATCAAAAGATAGTTTGTTGGTAGAGTTAAACTACAAATTAAACTAGACAAATGCAATATAAAACAACTAAATTGAGTAAAGTGTAGAGAATAGGAGAGAAGAGTCTTGGGTCATAGAGTTCACCACTAAGCGTTACCTTCCTAGACATTCAATGTTTGATAGATTAAGGGGAAATTGTGTTACAAATGAGAGTGTGTGCCATTGATTGAAATATTAGCATGGATGGCCAAGTAAGCATACATTGTCTGGCCAATCTAGTGAATAGCACAATATATTAAATTAAGCCATTAATCCTTCCATAAGCCCACAATCAATGCACATCATCAAGGTAGAGAAATATACTACTTGCATTCATAAGCATGGAACATCAAACAACAAGAATGGATTGTCCACCTATCTAAGAAAGTAAGACAACTACACTACAACTAAGCTAATGACATGAAAATTAAACTAATTAAACTAAGGTTGTGATACAATCCATTAAGAAATAAGTATGAACCATCAAATAAACCTCAAGAGTATTCCATTTAAGCACCATGCCTTGATCATTACTAGATTCATAATATCAACACACATAGACATGCATCAATGTAACAAAATCAAGAGATAAACACATGAACATCCATTCTAGCACATATAGACATATGAATATAATTAAATGATCAATTGGAAGTATTAAACTACACAAATCATGGTAAAAACAAGATTTATATATATATCAAGGGTCAAGACAAGAATTACAACATTAATCCCCATTAATTACAAAGCATCAAAGTCTATGAGGCATGCTTAGGGCTAGCTCTAGCCCCAAGAAGATGTTTAGCCACTCATTAATGTTGTCATCCAACCCTCAAGGGCTATCTCTATGTTAGAAATGATCTTCTTCCTCCTTGGTGGAAACCCTAGAAGAGAGGAAGAACTTTCCCAATTTGTGTATTCTCTCTCTAATCTCTAGCCAAGTCTCACTAATCTAACTAACCTCTTTACTCAAAATAGCCAAAATCCTTATATAGGTAGCTCAAATGTCACACCCAATGGTTAAACCTCGTGCACTAGGACCTCCCAATGATTGCACCATGAGTACACATTTAATTTGGCTTGAAATCAATTTTTTACGCAACTCAAGGCAGTTCGATCGATCTTAAGGTTGGTTCAATCGATCGAACCTTGGAAGTGCCTTTTTGGAATAAAGATAAGACTGAGATATTGTTGGGAAGAGGACAGAAGTGGTAGGTGAGGATAAGATCAAAGATGTTCGATCGATCGAATAAATGTTGGATCGATCAAAGAAGGTATTTTGCTGAGGATAAGGACAAAAGGCTCGATCCATCTTGGCATTGTTGGAACGATCACTGTGTGATCGATCGAAGAGTGCTTCCTTTCACCAACTTGCTTCCACTTTGCTCATTTCTTCCATTGAGCTTAATATTGCATCTTTTATATTCTAATTCAGCTGAATTAACTTATTTTAGGGATAAGTGCCTGAAAAAGGAAATAACATGAAATTAGACTAAAACGGGAAAATAAGATAGAATAAGGTATTAGAATGTTCAAGCTTAAGGGGTTTAAATGCGTATTTTTTTTACATTCTCCTAGCGATGGACTATGTATCTAAATTGATAGAGGCTGAGGCAACCATAACCAATGACCACACTATAGTGGTCCAGTTCACTCAAAAAAACATATTCAGTAGGTTTGGTACACCTTGAGCACTCTTAAGTGATGGAGGATCTCATTTCTGCAATCGTTATCTTCGATCTATTCTCCTTAAGTACTCTGTCAATCATAAGGTTGCCAAGCCTTACCATCCTCAATTGAGTGGTCAAGTAAAAGTCTCAAATAGGAAAATCAAGCATATTCTTGAAAAGACGGTTCGACCGGACCGCAAAGATTGGTCACTACGACTAAAAGATAAGCTTTAGGCCTACCGAACTATGTTTAAGACGCCAATTGGCATGTCACCAAACCGGATTGTTTACGGTAAGGCATGTCACCTTCCGGTTGAATTAGAGCATTCATGCCTTTTGGGCAATAAAGTGGTTTAATTTTAATCTTGATCAGGCCGGCTCGAATAGAAAATTGCAGCTCAATGAGCTAGAAGAAATCCGGAATGAGGCTTATGAAAATGCTAAAATTTATAAAGTAAAGACTAAAGCATTCCATGATAAACATATCATTAATAAGTCTTTTGCTTCAGGTCAAAAAGTTTGGCTTTTTAATTCCCAATTGCAACTCTTTCCAGGGAAACTTTATTCACGCTGGGAAGGTCCTTTTCTAATCACTTCTGTATTCTCCTATGGTGCAGTTGAGCTGCAAAACCCGAAAAATGGGAATCTTTTTAAAGTCAATGGTCAGCGGCTTAAGCCTTACATTGACAACCTAGTCCCAGTCGGATATGTGGATTCCATCATCTTGATGGATCCAATTTATGAGAACTAAAAAAATTCTCATTTCGTCTAGCTATCGACATTAAATTTAGCACTTTAAAGAAGCAAATTCTTTCCATTCTATGCTTCCTTATATACATGTTGCCATGAACCAAAATTCTCTCCAAATGGCTGAATAAAATTCCCACTTCGTATTCTTCAAGAATCATTTACATGTCCATTCAAGTGGCCATAATGGGTTTCTATAGTCATACAAAGGTTTGGTAACATTTTTGGGCATCTTTGATCAACAATTCATTAGAGCAACTGAAGCATCTTGCGTCCGGAAGCCATTTCTTGCGTCTAGATCCCAATTACTGAAGATCCCGCGTTCGGATGCCAATTACTGAAGATCCCATGTCCGGATGCCAAATAGTGCGTCCGAACACCAACATCTAGAAGCACTCGCGTCTGGACGCCACTACCGACGTTCGGATGCCAACTCATGCTGCTACTCGCGTCCGGACGCCACCACTGGTGTTTGAACGCTATTCTATAATCATCAGCCGCCAGCATAAAAAAATCATTCATCAAGAGCCGCATGATAGTCCGCGTTCAGACACCATGTTTCGCTTCCGAACACGAAAGCCCATGAAGCTAACCCGAGCCCAACTTGGGACTTTATAAACTTTACTTATTCATTCCTTATTCACAACCTACATCTCCCAACTTCGAACCCTACATTCCCACACCATCTCAAAATCATATTTCACTCTATCCATCTCTAGTTTTCATCAATTCATCATCTTTGATCATCATCTTTCAATCAAGGAGGGCAAAGTGTCAAACTCCAAATTGAGGTAAGTTTTTTTCTCTTCTATATTTCAACTATTGATTATTTCATAGAGATGAGAACTTGATCTTGTGGGCGATTGATTTATTAAGTGAGGAATTGTTTTGCTTTAATTCCAGATTCATGCTTGTTAGATTCAAATAATCCAATCTTCACAAGTGTTCTTTACTTTTCAGTCTTGCTCACCTCGTGTTTGACAAAAGTCTAGAACCATCTTCATTCACTCAAATGGCCTCTACTTTTACTTCTAAGCGTCCTCGAAAATCCAAGGGATCTTCTGAGGAAACAACTGATCCGAATTGGTCTAAATGGCCACTTCAATTTGAAACTACATTTGATGTTAGGAATGTTTTTCGTAGGCGTGCCGACACAAACTCGGCAATC